ACAGACTTAAAACCTGTTCGGGTTCACTTGCGCAAGTTATAACCTTGCTGTCGACTTAAAGCAAAATTTAGTCGCTATTTTTCAACTCGAGTAACTTTTATCTAAAATTTTTCATATATAATAGTCGATATGTTCGAATGGTTAAGGAGATAGACTCGAAATCTGTTGATTTTCACTCGCGCAGCTTGTCGACGTTTTAATTTATTTTTATTAGAAACTATATCAAAGCATAATTGAGTCGTTATTTTTTAACTCGAGTAAATTTTATCTAAAATTAATTAAACATCACTGTTGATATGTTTGAGTGATTAAGGAGATAGACTTGAAATTTGTTGGGTTTCACCTGCGCAAGTTCGAGCTCTGCTGTCGACGTTTTAATTTACTTTTATCATAAACTATCAAAGTAGAATTGTGTCGTTATTTTTCAACTCGAGTATCTTTTATCTAAAATTGACCAAATATCATTATCGATAAGTTCGAGTGGTTAAGGAGATAGACTTGAAATTTGTTGGGTTTCACCCGTGCAGGTTCAAATCCTACTGTTGATGTTTTAATTGTAGATATGTCCAAGCGACGTTTTAATCTCAATTAACTTTTATCTAAAATTGACCAAATATCATTGTTGATATGTTTGAGTGGTTAAGGAGACAAACTTGAAATTTGTTGGGTTTCACCCGCGTAGGTTCAAATCCTACTGTTGACATTTTAATTTATTTTTATTAGAAACTATCAAAGCAAAATTGAGTCGAGTCGTTATTTTTCAACTCGAGTAACTTTTATCTAAAATAAACCAAATATCATTGTCGATTATGTCCGAGTGAATGTTAATTTCCAACTTTGTCTAATTGATAGAGCATATTCAAACTTTAAATGTTTTTACCCTAATTTTTGACTTCTGACTTCGTAATAACGCAACTGACGTTCTAGAGTTCTAGGTCTTAAATCTCTCCACACGTTCTCCATCTCATACGGCACGAGAGGCTAGCTCTTCTTTCTTCTTGACGAAGCCTCTCGTCTCAAATCGTGTGTATTGTTTAGCGTCTCATCGCTCTAAAACTTCACGAGAATCTCTCGATCGATTCTCGTTTATCGCCTCCGAGCCTTCTCAAAAACACTGTTTCTACTCTTCATTCATGATAGGTTATTATTATAAAACTAAGAATATATATATTAAAAGTTTTATTTTTTAAATAAATAATAATAATAATAAATAACATAAATTAAATTAAATGCAAGTGGAATTTGGAAATTGCATTCCAGAATATTCCATTCCAAAAATTACTTTTTTTTTAAATAAATAAATTGACACTCCCCAGAAATTCAAATAATAATAATAATAATAATAATAATAAGATTATCTCAATTTTATGCACACCCACCGCTTCATTAAATTCTACCGACTGAATTTTAATAAAATAAAAAATAAAAAAATAAAAATCTTAACTCGTTGTCACGCAGTGCTGCCTCCACACATCCAAATTCCGGTGGTGGCCACGGTGGTGCTCACGGCGGCGCTGGTGGTTCACCACCTCAACACACCGCCGGAATTCCACCTGCCCCTCTTTCACAAACCCATCTTCTACCTCTTCCTCTTCAATCCTATCCTCCTCTTCCTCGTCCTCGTCCTTAATAAGATGCAATCTCAACCGTCCATCTTCGCGACTCGCGCGAAGAATCTCCGTCCGTTCAATCTTCACCTCAGTCAGCTCCAACCTCCCATCCTTCCTAACCGACCGGAGATAAAAGTTAGGATGACCATGTTGATTCAACGACGTCAACGGCGGCGGAAACCTCCTCACCACCATCCTCCTCCGCCGCACCCGAACCGTACACCCACCACCACTATCTCCCCCATTTTCCACACCCATCATCTCATCATTAACCAATCGTTCATCGGAGCTTTCAAATCCAAGGCTCTCGGTACACGACATCAACCCATCAACACCACCGCCAACGGCGTCGAGGAAACCAACCCCGCCGGGATCCTGCCGGGGGGTCGCCGGCGAGGAACAGAGAGGCTTCAAAACAGAGGAGGATTCGAGAATATTGGGGGATTTGAATTGGGTGAGATTGTTGTCCGAAATCAAACCCAAGCCGAGAAGGGGATGTTCGGCGGCGGCGGAGGAGGCGGATTTTGGAGAGAAGGTGTCGGCGAAGGACATGAAAGAGTAGAGGCTTTTTCTGTACAAATTGATCATAATTGGGTGTGTTTTTGTGTTTGGATTGGGGAAATAATGAAAGAGGCGAGGAGAAGAAGGTATTAATAATGGTGAGGGAGTTATGGGATATGGTGAACAGAGTGCCAACGGGGTGAGGAAAGGGTGCCGGGTCCCACGAGAGATGCCCAATGCCAAAAGACTTGGGATATTAACATTTTTTTTTTATTATTATAAATAATTATATCCGTTCTTGAGTTGGATCTGACTCTGGACTACTTAAATCGAATCATAAACGTTGGTTGGGTTCGATTTTTCGATTTGGATTGGGTTCATTTTTTGAAGAATTGAAAATTTGAATGGGTTCAGTAGTTGATTGAAATACGATGTGTGACTGTGAGATCCTACATCGGTTAGAGAGAGGAATTGAAAATTCATTATAAGGGTGTGTGAACCTCTCTTCTAGTTGATGCGTTTTAAAATTATGAGGTTGAGGGCAATATGTAACGGGCTAAAACAGACAATATTTGTTAGTGGTGGGCTTAAGGTGTTGCAAATGGTATTAGAACTAGACACTAGGCGAAACATACAATATTTGTTAGTGGTGGGCTTGAGGTGTTACAAATGGTATTAGAGCTAAACACTGGGGCGGTGTGCTAGTGAGAATGTTGGCTCCTAGTGGGAGTGGATTGTGGGATCCCACGTTGGTTGGACAAGGAACGAAACATCTCTTATAAGGGTGTGGAAATTTATCGCTAGTTGACACGTTTTAAAATCATGAGGCTGACAGCGATATGTAATGGGCTAAAGCGGACAATATATGTTAGCAGTGGCTTGGGTTGTGACAAATGGTATTAGAGTTAGACACTGAGCAATGTGCGAGCGAGAACACATGCCTCCAGCGACAGTGGATTGTGAGATCCTACATTTGTTGGTTGGAGGTGGGCTTGAGTGGTTACAAATGGTATTAGATTTAAACACTAGGCAGTGTGCTAGAGAGAACGCAAGCCTCTAGTGGCGTGAAAATCTCTCTCTAGTAGACGCGTTTTAAAATCGTGAGGCTGACGATGATATGTAACGGGATAAGACAAACAATATATGCTTGCTATGGACTTGAGCTATCACAAATGGTACTAGAGTCAGACATTGAGGGTGTGCTAGCGAGAATGCTGGCCTCCAGTGGCAGTGGATTGTGAGATTTTACATTGGTTTGAGAGGGAACGAAACACCTCTTATAAGGGTGTGGAAATCTCTCACTTAGACGCGTTTTAAAACCGTGACGCTGATGACGATACGTAACAGGCCAAAGTGGACAATATCTGTGGTTTGTTGGGTGTGGGAGATGGGTGAATATCGAGGAGCCTTGGAGTAAGGGAGAGAGAAAAATGATTGAACTTGTCCTTACTTGCTATGTATACACCCATATACATATATTATTATATATTTCTAAGATTGAAATCTCCATCAATGACAGGATGAGATTGAAATATCGTTATTGAAAGTAGTTTTGAATCGCTTATCCGTCACACTGGTTCTTGCTAAAAAAATGAAGATAGGAGATACCGACCGAGTCAGTGAGTCATCGAGTGCAATTGCGCTTCTATGAACTGACAAGGAGTGCGACTATGCCTGTGAGTCTGGTCTGCAAGCTTGCAAGGAGGAGCATTGTGGAAGTCAAAGGAAGGAATAACGAAGAAGATGCAAAATCGACTACCGAGTTGTGAGGTGAGGCAATTGTGTTTTGTGATTGTGTACTCGATGTGCAATGCGACGATATGCGAAGGAAGGAAGAAGAACGAAGAAGTACGTCGTGCAAGAAGCCAGAAGGGTATAGGTACTTATAAGCGCCAACAATGCTATATTTTTGCAAAGCAGCTAGAGGTCTTTTCGGTATCCTTACAAACTTTTACCAAGAAAGCTAACTTAACCAATTGAATTCAACCAAAAGTGGGTCAGAAGATGAATAACTAACTTGGAATCTATGATGGTCACTTTTAGATTCCAACACGACTCATCCCAGATTAGCTTGATCAAGACTAATTCAATGAATCGATTTTAACATCAAACCTAAAGCAAGATTGGAAAGAAACATAACACCCAAACGGTTTCAAACGCAAGATTTTTGTATTCCACCGTGATTTCAAACTTCATATTACACGGTCAAAAAGTTAATCTAAACCTAATGTAGTTCACTACCAACTACAGACTACGAATAAAAACTATTAAATACAAATGGAAGAAAATAAGGAATAACATAAATAGACATAAAGACTTCCCATCACTTTCCAATGTCAAGTGATATTTACTGTCTCTCCATGCTTCTTCGTGACTTGATACTTAAATCTCTTTGCATTGTTTTTTGTAATTGCTCAGTCAAGTACATGCCTCTTGTTGGATTCGTATCAAGTATTATGTACTCAGTCCTAATGTGAGCTCTCCGTCATCAATTGTGACGTCACGTCAGAGGAGTATGGAGGAGAATGAGTACGTAATCATGTTGGACAATTTACACGGCCTACTATGCTTAGTAGTGGGTCATTGGCCGAGGAAGAACCAAAGAAGAACACACGAGTTGGGTCGGGTTGACTCGGTCCTTTGCACACTGAACTCGTACCCAATCAAAAACCAGATTGGGTCCTAAAAAATCAACCGAACCCAACTTGAAATTTCATCTAGCCCAACCCTGGGTCGCTTCAGGTTTTCGAGTTCAATGTACACCCTTGATCCTAATCGGTTCTTTTGGGTAGTTTTTTTTTTCAACAAACTAAAAAACAAAGAAAAAGAATTAGAAGAAGAGATATCATGATGTAAAATGTTAACTGTTGCTGACAGGATGCCGTTGAGCGCCAAAAACGGCCTCTACTTTTCCATGGCTCCCATGAACTCTATCCATCTGTAACAGTGTTCGTCCCTACCACTCAATTTCTTATGGAACTCACAGATCTTCGTCTCCATTTTTCGTCTGAATCTCTTCAATTCCTATGGAAACCATTCTCTCTCCTCACTCTCTCTCCCCTCTCCTCAACCCTAACCCTAAACCTTCCACTTCCAAGAATCTCTTCCCCATTTCCTCCCAATCCAGATCAAAATTTCAATGTTTCTGTAAACCTATTTCCCTTTCTCCCAAATCTCTCAAATCTTCTCTCCCAGTTCCTTCGATTTGGCAATCCCATCTCCAACATGGCCTCGCGGCGCTGTCGATTTCTTTGGCGCTCAACTTCTCCCCGTTGTTGGCCGGTGGGATTGCCGTAGCGTCTGAGTTTGATGTGCTCAATGATGGGCCGCCGAAGGAGTCGCATCTGGTGGACGATGCTGGAGTGCTCAGTAGGGTCACGAAGTCGGATTTGAAGAGGCTGTTGACGGATTTGGAGTTGAGGAAGAATTTTCACATCGATTTCGTAACTGTTAGGAAGCTCACTGTGAGTTCTCCGCCTTTGAATTCTTGAGAGCGAAACTAAATTTGTGTTGTTCGGAGAATCTATGGGTTGAATGTTTAATGTAGATATATAGTTATAGAATAATTTGAACTTTTGTTTATCATGGGAAGAAAAAGGTAATGATCTGGTATGTGTTTATGAGAATTTGATAATCTTTCTGAGACCCATTTTTAGAAAGTGGGCATCATATTGTGATGGGTTGTTTAAAATGAAGGCCACCATATTGAGAAATACCTTCACTTGTCTAAAGTCTTGGCTCAAGCCTCAAGCTCTTAGTGAAAAGATAATATTGTCTCTTGAGGATGGTTCTAATAGCCCAAGCCTTATTGTTCTCTTTGGATTTTTCTAAGGAGAGGTTCCCACACCATTATAAAAAATGCTTTGTATACTCATTCTTAACCCGTGTGAGATCTCACAATTGTCCCCTCTTTGGAGCCTAGTGTCCTCGTTCCTCTCTCTAATCGATGTGGGACCCCTCTTTGGAGCCTAGTGTCCTCGTTCCCCTCTCTAATCGATGTGGGACCCCCTAATTGACCGCCCTTCGGGGCCCAACGTCATTGGTGGCACATTGCCTGGTGTCCACTCTCCTTTGGGGTTCAGTCTCCTTGCTGGCCTTGCTGGCACATCGTTCAGTGTCTAGCTCTGATACTATTTGCAGTGCACAAGCCCAAGCCCAAGCCCATTGCTAGCAGATATTGTCCTCTTTGGACAGCCCCTTTTCGAGCGCTTACCTACACCCTCATAAGGAATGTTTTGTTCTCCTCCACAACTGATGTGGGATCTCACAATCCACCCGTTTCGGAGTCCAACATCCTCGCTGGCACTCGTTCACCTCTCCAATCAATGTGGGACCCCCAATCCACCCCCCTCCCCTTAGGGGCCAGCGTCGTCGTTGGCACACCACCTGATGTCCACCCCCCTTTCAGGGTTCAGCCTCCTCCCCCTTCGGAGTCCAACATCCTCGCTGGCACTCGTTCACCTCTCCAATCGATGGGACCCCCAATCCACCCCACCTCCTCTTCGTGGCCCAGCGTCGTCGTTGGCGCACCACCTGATGTCCACCCCCCTTTCAGGGTTCAGCCTCCTCGCTGGCACATTACTGATGTCTGGCTCTGATACCATTTGTAATAGCCCAAGTACACCGCTAGCAGATATTGTCATTTTTCGGTTTTCCCATTTAGGCTTCCCTTCAAGGTTTTTAAAACTAGTCTTCTAGAGAGAGTTTTCCACCCCTTATAAAGAATGATTTGTTCTACTCCCCAACCAATGTGGGATCTCACCAGGGTCTTTCTCAAGGTAAGGTGGGCCATGAGCACAAGAAACATAGGCTAAATTATAAGTTTATGCTTTGATCCCTTGAAACTTTATTCTGATTGTAGAGCAAAGCTGATGCATTTGAGTATGCTGATCAAGTTTTGGAGCGATGGTATCCCACTGTGGAAGACGGCAACAATAAAGGCATAGTTGTGCTTGTCACCAGTCAAAAGGAAGGAGCCATTACTGGTGGCCCTGCGTTTATCCAAGCTGTTGGAGAAAACATTCTTGATGCCACAGTAACAGAGAACCTCCCAGGTAAACTAAGCTAACCACCACTTCTTCAACTTATTTCACTCTTCACTTTCCAAGCTAACAATTTCTACCATTTCTTGCTTAAATTGTAACACATTGCAACTAGTAGATGCCTTAACTATACTCGTAGTCGTGTCTCTGTGTTTATGCGAGTTGGCCTTGCTTATGAGTTTCTCGACTTCAAAGGAAAAGAAAACAGCAAACAAACTTGTATGTATCTTAGCACGTGTCAATACCCCAACTAGTGTTGTTATTTCTAGTAGGCATGTGAGTTCTAAAAACGTCGAATAGGTCAAAAATTTGTTAAACACGAAATGAAAAGTTTAAGTATTTATTAGACATTGTTTGAAGCCTAGAAACCAAATAGCCACAAACCTCAAAGCTCATAGACTTGTTAGACACATACCTAAATTTTCATTGCTCATTTCCTCTTCATCTTAATATTGTTCTTGGTTGCTTTTTCTCTAAGCTCTTTTTCTAAGCTCTATGACTAAATTTAATAGTCCAAGCCCACTGCTAGCAAATATTATCTTCTTTGGGTTTTTCCTTTCGGGTTTTCTCTCAAGGTGTAAAACGCGTATGCTAGGGAGAGGTTTCCACACCTTCGTTTCCCTTTTCAACCAATGTGGGGTCTCATTATCCACTCCTTGGGGGCCCAACGTCCTCGCTGGTACACTGCCCGGTGTTTGACTTTAATATCATTTGTAATAGCTCAAGCCCACTGCTAGCAAATATTATCCTCTTTAGACTTTCCCTTCCGAGTTTTTCCTCAAGGTTTTAAAACACTTTTGCTGGGCCCTGAAGGGAGAGTACGAAACATTCTTTATAAGGGCGTAGAAACCTCTCTTTAGCAGACACATTTTAAAACTGTGAGGCTGACGGTGATACATAACGAGTCAAAGCGGACAATATCTGTTAGCGTGGGCTTGAGATGTTACACTAAAACATCATGATGAATGCATCAAAGAAGTGAATAATGCTTGTAGTTGCTACTTCATTTTTGAAACTGCAGGGTGAGTAAGGTTTGTTATGTAACTGCAGTATTAGCTACTGATGAAAAATACAATGAAGCCATATATAGCAGTGCGAAACGGCTAGTTGCTGCCATTGATGGCTTGCCAGATCCTGGAGGTCCTTCATTTAAGGAAAATAAGCGAGAATCTAACTTCAAATCAAGGGAAGAAACAGAGGAGAAAAGAGGTCAGTTTTCTCTTGTTGTTGGAGGTTTGTTAGTGATAGCTTTTGTTGTTCCCATGGCTCAGTATTATGCTTATGTATCCAAGAAGTAAAAGAAACATGTAAGACCCAGATCTTCCCATCTATTTCCTTCACATTCAAATGTATAAATTTGATGCTGTATGATCGCTACAAGATGATTTGCAAGAAACCTGTTATGAAACGTAGTTGAGTTTTTTTGTTCTTCTTGTTCTTCATCTTCTAGGCCTACCCTTTCCTTTTTGTTCATTTTGTTGTTAACAATTAGGATATTGGAGGTTCGAGATATTCACGAGCAAAGGCAGAGAAGCCTTTTCCATTCATGTTCTTGTCACTTGTATCGTTAAGATATTGTAACAGCCCAAGCTCACTGTTGGTAGATATTGTTCATTTTGGCCCGTTACATATTGCTGGCAGCCTCACGGTTTTAAAATGTGTCTTTTAAAGAAAGGTTTCTACGTCCTTATAAAGAATGCTTTGTTTCTCTCTCCAATCGATGTGGGATCTCACAATCTACTCCCTTTAGGGGCCAACGTCCTCGCTGACACATTACCCAGTGTATGGCTCTGATACCATTTTGTAATAGTCTAAATCCACTACTAGTAGATATTGTCTGCTTTGGCCTGTTATGTATCGTTGTTAGTTTCACGGTTTTTAAAACGTATCTACTAGGGAGAGGTTTTCACACCCTTGTAATAAATGTTTTGTTCTCCTCTCCAACCGATGTGAGATCTCACAAATCCACCTCCTTTGGAGGCTAGCGTCCTCGCTAACATATTGACCGGTGTCTGGCTCTTATACTATTTGTAACAATCTCACAATCTACCTCCTTTGGAGGCTAGCGTCCTCGCTAACATATTGACCGGTGTCTGGCTTAGATACCATTTGTAACAATCCAAACCCACCACTAGTAGATATTGTCTGCTTTGACCCATTATGTATCACTATTAATCTCACGGTGTTTAAAACGTGTCTACTAAGGAGAGGTTTTCATACCCTTCTAAGAAATGTTTTGTTTCCCTTCCATGTCTACTGGAGAGAAGTTTTCATACCCTTGTAAGAAATGTTTCGTTCCAATCGATGTGGGATCTCACAGATATATACTTTTCTCGATATCAAAAGTTCAAAACTCTTGGATTGAAAGATGAATATGTTACAGAATTGAAGTGATAAATGAAGATGGGTCTAGCGGAGTGGAAACTTGGATAGCACCTTCAAGCATTTGTACGACTTTCTTTATGATTAGATTAGTTCATGAATTTTCTTAAAACTAGATCCGGTTAAATCGAACCAACCCGAATGTTAATTTTAAAATATATATTTAATATTCTTTGTTATCAAAAAAAAAAAAAAAACAAACAAACATATGATTGGCTGCCTTTAAAAACCAAAATAATTATTTATAAAAATAATAACAAATATTTAAAATGATTAATTAGTAAAAGATAATAAAGGTAAAAGGCAACGCCATCTTAGCAAATCCTTCCATCTTTCTTCGTCCCCTCGTTATTCTTCCTCTTGTCTTTTTGCTTACTGCACACTGAACTTCTGACCCACCATTACCAACCATACCTTCAAAGCCATGATTTTCTCTATACCCATTTCTTCTTCTCCTTCACCCTACTCCCCTTCCACCACCGTCCATGGCGCCCCTCACCCATCTCCTCCTCCTCCTCTGCGTTTCCGCCGCCACATCTAACCCTTTCTCCCGCCCCGCGGTTTTCAACTTCGGCGACTCCAACTCCGACACCGGTTGCGTTGTCGGTGCTGCCATTGAGAACATCTACCCCCCCTACGGCCACCGCTTCTTCGGACATCCCTCCGGGAGATACTCCGATGGTCGCCTCATCGTTGATTTTCTCTGTATGTTTCTGTTCTTCTTGGACCCTTTTTTCTCTCTGGAATTGATTTTCTTTTCTGCGATTAGGGTTTTCAGTTTTCGTCTCTCCCATCTAGCATTTCCCTTGTTTTTTTTGGAGGAAAGTCCCACACCTACTCATTCGACTAATTTAGGGAAGGATCTATCTCCATTGGTACGAGGTCTTTTGGAGAAATCCAAAGTAAAATCATGAGAGATTGGGCTCAAAGTGAACAATAACATACCATTCCATTGTGGAGAGTCGTGTTCATCTAACCTGGTATAAGAGTCATGCCCTAAAACTTAGCCTGTCAATAGAATCCTCAAATGTCGAACAAAGTATTGTGAGCTTCGAAGGCTTGACTAAGACTCCAAAAAGAAAAAGGAGTCGAGCCTCGATTAAGGGGAGGCGTACTTTGTTCAAGGTGAGGTGTTTGATGAAAGTCCCACGTTGGCTCATCGGCTAATTTAGGGATGATCATACTATCTCTATTGGTACGAGGTCTTTTGGAGAACCCCAAAGCAAAGCTACAAGAGTTTATGCTCAAAGTAGACAATATCATACTATTGTGGAGAGTCGTGTTCATCTAACCGTTTTCTCTCGTTGGTTTGCCATGTTTTTGCAGTGGATGCGATGGATATGCCTTACTTGAATGCGTATCTTGATTCCCTTGGCGCACCAAATTTTCGTAAGGGGTGCAATTATGCGGCTGCAGGCTCGACTATTCTTCCCGCAACAGCTACTTCTTTTTGCCCTTTTTCATTTGGGGTTCAGGTGAATCAGTTTCTTCATTTCAAAGCTAAAGTTCTTGAGCTCCGAGCAGGCAAAGGTATGATAGATTGTGAATGATCTCGGGAACAAACAACCATTTTCACTGTTTTGTGATCATTTCTGCTGCTTTCTTTAGGTGGTAAGAAACTTGATAAGTACCTACCAGCTGATGATTACTTCCAGAAGGGACTTTACATGTTTGATATTGGGCAGAATGATCTTGCTGGTGCATTTTATTCCAAAACTTTGGACCAAATTCTTGCCTCTATACCTGCAATTTTATCTGAATTTGAGAGTGGAGTTCAGGTTAGACTTAATGGCTTCTTTCTAAGTTATGTTGGCACAATGATGATTTTGTTTAGATGTGCTTTTACCTGCTTGATTTTGTGTTAGATTTGGGTATTGAACTTGATTTTGAGTGTTCTGGAAGCCAGTTTTTGTATGATTTGTTGGTGGCTGATGATGGCTTTAGTTATAAACAATCATTTTTGTTAGAAGCATTTAGCTACTGAAACGATCTAACCCCACCGCTAGTAGATATTGTTCTCTTTGGGGTTTCTTTTTCGGGTTTCTTTCAAGTTTTTAAAACGTGTTTGTTAGGGAGAGGTTTCTACACCCTTGTAAAGAATGCTTTGTTCCCCTCTCCAATCGATGTGGGATCTCACAATCCACCCTCTTTGGGGCCCAGCGTATTCATTTGCACTCGTTCCCTTCTCTAATTGACGTGGGACCCCAATCCACCTCCTTCGGGGCTTAGCCTCCTCGCTGGCACATCACCCGGTGTCTGACTCTGATACCATTTCTAACGGCCCAAGCCCATCGCTAGCAGATATTGTCCTCTTTGGGCTTTCCCTTCTGAGCTTCCCCTCAAGGTTTTTAAAACGTGTCTGCTAGTAAAAAGTTTTCACACCCTTATAAAGAGTGCTTTGTTCCCCTCTACAAGTGATGTGAGATCTCACTGTTACTATCTCTTAACACGTCTAGTAGTCGCGGGTGGCTACTTATTTAGGACACTAACATTTTAAGAGGCTTTTGTTAACCTCGAATGTTGTAGATTGTGGTTGTTCTATATGATTAATTGAAGTGAATGAAAGTAGGGTTCGACACTAGCTGAATACAATACCCTCGTGTTGGTCAAAACTTAACTCGGGTATCGCCAAGTAAAATATGGGAAAACATAATGGGATGAGTTCGTTTACTCTATTCTGTAGGATAAGACTTCATAGTTGTATTATCAATAAGGGTTAGATGCAACGAGATCAAATAATGATGGCTATCTACGAGTTTCCTTAGCAATCCAAATGAATTAGAGTCGGGTGGTTGTCTCGTGAGAACAGTTGAGGTGTGTGTAATCCGGTTCAGTCATTGCTTCGATCATTCTTTTTGCCTATTTTTCAGAAACTGTACGACGAAGGGGCGAGAAATTTTTGGATTCACAACACGGGTCCTTTAGGATGCTTGGCTCAGAACGTTGCTAAATTTGGAACAGACCCATCAAAGCTTGATGAATTTGGATGCGTCAGTTCACACAACCAAGCCGCCAAACTCTTCAATTTACAGCTTCATGCTCTCTGTAAAAAACTGCAGGGCCAATATGCAGATGGCAACGTCACATACGTCGATATCTACTCGATAAAATCGAATCTCATCGCCAATTATTCACGACTCGGTTGGCCGTCTTGCTGCACTTTAGCTTCATTTTCTGTCAATCCTGTAAAATCTGATGACTTGCTGCATTTTGACATGGCAGGTTTTGAGCAACCTATTATGGCTTGTTGTGGATATGGAGGTCCACCGCTCAATTACGACAGTCGAATCGTGTGCGGACACACAAAGATGTTGAACGGGACGTTGGTGACGGCGAAAGGGTGCGACGATAGCTCGGAGTACATCAATTGGGACGGAATTCATTATACAGAAGCTGCAAATCAGTATGTTTCATCACAAATACTTACCGGAAAATATTCTGATCCACCCTTCTCAGAAAAAATGCCATTCCTTCTCAAACTCAAGTTCTAGTTGGCCTTACTTACACATGCATACATCCCACAACTGATAACTCATTTGTATGTCTAAATGGAAGCATTCATGTGGAGTTTAGAACTATGATTTGATATTAAGTGCTTACTTTAAATGATATGGCCGAAACAGACGTGATACCATGAAGATTTTTCATAATAAAGCAGACGATAATGAATTAATCGAGCCTAATATTTCATACCAATTATGTGAGGTCCCATATCAGTTGGAGATGAGAACAAAACTTTCTTGATAAGGGTGTGAAAACCTCTTTTTAGTACACGTATTTTATAATCTCGAAGGAAAGTTCGGAAGGAAAAGTTCAAAGAAACAAAATTTATTAACGATACTAGCATCCGTCCCATCGCAAGCACCTACAATATCATGATCACATTGGTTTACCCCTTTTTCTTTGGTAGTTCAACGGGCAGTCGCCCCTCCAACAAGAAAAGGTATAAATATGGAAACTTCTCTGCCATTTGGGTCGGAGAATTTATGGAGGAAATCGGTTTTTATATTTGAGGCCCTTTCGCTTTAGTCTGGTCTGCCTTTCCTATCCCTTTACTCGAAGTTCTATCCGTGTTCGTGTTCTAGATAGAAGAATAATAACTATCGTAAAATAATAATAGAATTTCTTACCGGTGGGTATTAGAAAAAAATATTCAGACTGAGTCAAAGACTCAGCACTTCCCTTCTTATATATGGACTCATCTTCCCATATTGCTTCACATTCAATGGCTTCTTCTTCTTCTTTTCCTGTTCTTCTTCTTCATCTTCTTCTTCTTCTTCTTCTTCTTCTTCTGCCATTCTATTCCGTTTCCCAGCCCCACAAAAACATAACTCTGGGTTCATCTCTCACTGCAAATCCACGCACCAGAACCAACAATGGCGATTACTGGTCCTCTCCCTCCGGCGACTTCGCTTTCGGCTTCTTACAGTTCGGAAGCGACGGCTTTCTCTTAGCCATTTGGTTCAACAAAATCCCAGAAAGAACTGTGGTCTGGTCGGCCAATAGAAACGAACTGGTGCCCCACGGATCCACCGTCCAACTCACCTCTCCTGGTCAGCTCCTGCTCAAGAACTCAAGAACAGGCAACCAAATATGGAGCACTAGTTCACCAAATGATAATCAAACACTAGTTTCTTATGCTGCCATGCTCGACACGGGAAACTTCGTCCTTGCTTCCAATGATTCCCAAATTTTGTGGCAATCCTTTGACGAACCCACTGATACCATTTTACCATCGCAGATTATGAACCAGAAATCGCTCATTGCGAGTCAATCAGCCACAAATTTCTCAGAGGGGAGATTTCAATTTTCTATGCGATTTGATGGGAATCTCGTGCTTAACACAAGAATTGCCCCTTTGGGTGCTCTTGGGACGGCTTATTGGGCAAGTGACACTGTAAATTCTGGGTTCCAGCTTGTTTTTAATCTATCTGGCTCTATTTATTTCTCTGCAAAAAATGGAACTATGATAAGCAATTTAATCTCCCCCAGTTCTTATTCAAATGAGGATTTCTACCATCGAGCCATTCTGGATTATGATGGCGTTTTCAGGCAATATGTGTATCCAAAGAGCGAGAACGCTACTCCTGAAGGTAAGTCTTGGATTAGTCTCTCAGATTTCATTCCTTCAAATATCTGTGATAGAATAGTTAGTGGGTTAGGAAGTGGAGTATGTGGGTATAATAGCTATTGTGAAACTGACGAAAATCAGAGACCATCTTGCAAATGCCCACAAGGGTATCGAAGAGTTGATCCAAAAGATGAAATGAAAGGCTGCAGTCCAAATTTTGTTCCTCAAACATGCGAGGATTCTGTTCTTGAAGCAAATGAATTCGATTTTTTTGTCATTGACGAGGCAGATTGGCCTGGCATTGATTATATGGGATACTCAGGGAAAGATGACGATTGGTGTAGAACAGCTTGTTTGAATGATTGTTTTTGTGCTGCTGTGGTTTCTGAATCAGGGAATTGTTGGAGGAAGAAGTTTCCTCTTTCATTTGGAAGAGTTAACCGCGATTTCAGCGGTAAATCTTTGATCAAATATAGGAAGGATAACTCTAGCTTGATAGCTACTGATCTTGTCATGAGCTATAAGGACAAAACATTTGTAGCTACTGGATTAGCTCTTATTGGTATCTCAGGTTGTCTGATTTTCATGTTCTTGCTGGTTGGTTTTCTGATTGTTTGTTGTCCGGGTAAGAACAGATATCGATCCATGGTTATCGCAGGAAAGCTACCAGTTCTTGGAATGAACCTGAGAAGTTTTAGCTATGAAGAGCTAAACAAGGCCACAAATGGGTTCAAAGAGAAGCTGGGAAGTGGTGCTTTTGCCACTGTTTATAAAGGGATTGTTGACTCCATGAACAACAGCTTGGTGGCTGTTAAGCTCTTGGACAATACAGTGAAAGAAGCAGACCAAGAATTCAAAGCTGAGGTCAGTGCTATAGCTCGAACAAACCACAAGAATTTGGTTCGATTGCTCGGTTTCTGCAATGAACAGCTACACAGACTGCTAGTTTATGAGTTCATGCCTAATGGGTCTCTAGCAGATTTTCTATATGGACCCCCTTCAAACTGGAACAAGAGAATTCATCTGGCTATAGGAACTGCTAGAGGGCTTAATTATTTACACGAAGGGTGCAAAACTCAGATAATTCACTGTGATATTAAGCCTCAAAACATCCTTATTGATGACACTTTTTCTGCAAGAATTGCGGACTTTGGTTTAGCCAAATTCTTGAAGAAAGACCAGACTCGAACCATGACCGCCATTAGAGGAACGAAAGGGTATGTGGCTCCAGAATGGTTCAGGAACCTCCCGATTACAGTGAAGGTCGATGTTTATAGCTTTGGAATTGTGCTGTTGGAGATCGTTTGTTGCAGAAGAAGCTTTGAAATGAAAGCGGAGGCTGAGGATGAAATGGTATTGGCTGATTGGGCCTATGATTGCTTGATATCAAGGAAAGTTGAAAGGTTAGTAAGAAAAGATGAGGAAGCTAAGAAGGATATGAAAATGGTGGAGAAATTGGTTACCGTTGCCATTTGGTGCATTCAAGAGGAGCCATCGTTTAGGCCATCCATGAAGAAAGTTCTACAGATGCTTGAAGGTGTTCTTCAAGTTCCAGCTCCTCCTCATCCATCTTCATTCATCACCACAATTTAGTCATTCTCAAGCTATCTCTCGAGTGTCATTTCGGTGTACTTCTAACACTTTGCTCGAGAGTATATGTTTTAATGTAACCTAGTTGCTGTATTTTTGTCGGAATTGTTAGGTCATTATTCTGTGTCGTAGTTAGAAACCGACTCGAAGAAGGTTAAGCAGTACAAAACGTGATCAATGATTGACATCCAGAACGATGTTGAATGCATGAACATGTAAGAATGTCGACACGTTTACGAAAATTTACAATTCAACGGGAATATTCAAACTTAATCTAAGGGTTAAAGCATGCATCATTGACCCGAAATTCCAAGTCCCGTTCAACCGAACTATTAATTTCCAAGTGCCTACCCTTTTCCTTGCTAACTATTCCAAGTCTTTCAAATGTGGTTGAGAATTAATTTTGCTAGTGCAACGTTTTCTTGCCCTCAAATTCCTCAATAGACAATAACACTTATTTGACATTCGAATCAAACATACTGCTTTGACCCGTTATGTATCGCCGTCAGCCTCATGAGGAGAGGTTTTCACACCCTTATAAGGAATGCTTTGTTCCCATTTCCAACCGATATGAGATCTCACAATCCACCAGTCCAGCATTCTCACTAGCACACCGTTGGGTGTCTGACTCTGATATCATTTGTAACAGCCCAAGCCCACATCTAGTAGATATTGTCCGCTTTGACCCATTACGAGTCGTCATCAGCCACACGATATTAAAACGTATCTGTTAAGGAGAGGTTTCCACACCCTTATAAGGAATGTTTCGTTCCCCTCTCCAACCGATGTAGAATCTCACACAATCTAACTTACTTTATCTTGTGGTGATTTGAACAACATTCTTCACAACTTCCTTTAAGTTCATATTGTATGATTGAGATGTCTTGGTTCATAGCACGTTGGTTGGCTTACAGATTCAAAGCCAGAGATTCAATAAACAATGTTCATTGGTTCAGTGTTGGAAAGCTTAAAAATTAAACTAGAAACATGTACGGTTAGGATTACACAACTTATACACTCGATCTAGATGAAGAACAAAATAGGAAAAAACTAGATAATCAATCTTAAAGAAAATAAATATGAAAATAGATAAAAGATTACTCAAAATTATTTAAAATTTGAATATTTAAAGGGTTTTCTTTTCTTTTTTCCTTTTTTATTTTGTTGGTCCAACATTATTAATTAAGCATTTATTTATTTGTGACTATGACCGAGTCAAAACCAAAAGTCTCAATAGGAAGCAATTGTCCAAATTCAAGTCTTCTCCCGACTTGCTCAACTCTCTAATGGCGAACGTTAAACCCTTCAGAAATTTGCAAAAATAGGCCGACTTCATCTTCTTCTACAAACGCACAGTCTTAGAATCATGGCTTCTGTTCATATATCGTCTTATTTCTTCCTTCTTCTTCCTCTTCTTCTGGGTTTTCCATTCTTTTCAAATTCTCAGCCATATAAGAACATAACTCGAGATTCATCTCTCACTGCACAGAACAATAACAATGATTCCTACTGGCCCTCACAATCCGGTGATTTCGCATTCGGGTTTCTTCAATTTGGAAGCGACCGCTTTTTGTTGGCCATTTGGTTCAACAAAATCCCTGAAAAAACTGTTGTCTGGTCGGCCAATCGTGACGGTTTGGCGCCTGGAGGATCTAGAGTTCATCTCACAAATCATGGTCAGTTCGTGCTCAATGACCCTGAAGGCAGACCAATCTGGAGTGCAAATTTAGGAGACAATGCCGGGTCAGTTTCTTATGCTGCTATGCTTGATTCTGGCAATTTCATTCTAGCTGGGAGTGATTCCCAAGTGTTGTGGCAAAGCTTCGATTATTCTACTGATACGATATTACCAACCCAGATCATGAAAGCAGATCTTATTTCTTCTTATTCTGAAACAAATTACTCCAAAGGAAGATTTCTATTCTCAATGACAGGTGAAGGAAATCTTGTCTCAGCTTACCCCAGTATCATCCCAATGCGTAGAACCGCTACATTATATTGGAAAAGTGACACACAAGGCTCTGGGTTTCAGCTGGTTTTCAACCTCTCTGGCTCCATTTATATCTCTGAAGGAAATGGAGGCAGAGTTGTAAAAGTTTTGACGAACAATACTCCTTCAACTAAGGATTTCTACCATCGAGCCCTTTTGGAATATGATGGAGTTTTCAGGCAATATGTGTATCCAAAGAATGGTAATGATACCAGTCCTTCTCCTTGGCGTAAGGCTTGGAGTCAGGTATCAAATTCCATACCTCCTAATATTTGTGTGACAATAAACGATGGCATAGGATCTGGAGCTTGTGGGTTCAATAGCTATTGTAGTTTAGGAGATAATCAGAGACCAGTTTGCAGTTGTCCTCATGGCTATGAAAGGATTGATCCAAATGATGAGGCCAAAGGCTGCAAACCAAGTTTCGTTCCTCAAAGTTGCGGCAACAATTCGTCGTCGGACTTCGAGTTCGTTTCCATAGAATACTCAGATTGGCCTTCTTCTGATTATGAGGCTTTCTCTGAGGTTAATGAGGATTGGTGTAGAAGAGTTTGCTTGGAGGATTGTTTCTGTGCTGCTGTTGTTTTCAGAGGAAATAATTGTTGGAAGAAGAGATTTCCTCTTTCATTTGGAAGAGTTGATCTTGAATTTACAGGTAAAGCTCTGATTAAAGTTAGGAAAGATAACTCCACTTTCAAACTTGATCATCCAATCAAGAAAGTTGTGAAGGACAAAACTTTGATAGTTATTGGGTCAATTCTCTTAGGGGCTTTTGGGTTTCTGTTTGCCACTTTCTTTATTGCTTACCAATTCTATATAAAGAGAAGAAAGCTTGGTATGGTGGAAATGCCACCAGTTCTGGGCTTGAACCTACGCATTTTCAGCTATGAAGAGCTCAACAAGGCCACGGCTGGTTTCAAAGAACAGCTGGGAAGTGGCGCTTCCGCTACTGTTTATAAAGGGATTGTTGATGATTGTGTGGATAATAACTTGGTAGCTGTTAAGAAGCTGAACAATGTAGTAGAAGAGGGAGAGCAAGAGTTTAAAGCTGAAGTTAGAGCTATTGCTGGAACAAACCACAAGAATTTGGTTCAATTACTTGGGTTTTGCAATGAAGAGCCACATAGAATGTTGGTGTGTGAATACATGAAAAATGGGTCACTTGCAGATTTCCTTTTTGGGTCTTCAAAACCAAATTGGTATCAAAGGATTCAAGTCGTTTTAGGAACTGCTAGAGGGCTATGCTATCTACACGAAGAGTGTGATACTCAAATCATTCATTGTGATATTAAGCCTCAGAACATCCTTTTGGATGACTCGTTGGCTGCTCGGATTTCAGACTTTGGATTAGCCAAACTCTTGAACAAAAACCAAACCCGAACGATGACAGCGATTAGAGGAACAAAAGGGTATGTAGCTCCTGAGTGGTTTAGAAGTCTTCCCATTACGACGAAGGTTGATGTTTATAGCTTTGGCATTCTGCTGCTGGAGATTGTTTGTTGCAGGAAGAGTTTTGAAGCAGAGGCTGAGAAGGAAGATGAAATGGTGTTGGCAGATTGGGCTTATGATTGCTTCAAAGAGAGGAAAGTGGAGTTGCTCGTGAAGAACGATGAGGAAGCAAAGGAGGACATGAAGAAGGTGGAGAGGTTTGTAATGATAGCAATTTGGTGCATTCAAGAGGAGCCATCTTTCAGACCAACCATGACGAAAGTCATACAAATGCTTGAAGGTGCTATCCAAGTTTCCACTCCGCCTGACCCATCTTCATTTATCACTTCAATTATGTAACATATTTGTCTTTCAATCCAACCAAGTTTCAAACTTTTGACGTCCAAGTTGAGGAAGGGTATATATCTTAATGAATTGTACCGACTTTCGAACTTTTGATGTCCCGAAAGGGTATATATCTGTGAGAACCCACATCAATTGGAGAGGAGAACGAAACATTCCTTACAAGGGTGTGGAAACTTCTCCCTAGTAGACGCGTTTTAAAAATCGTGAGGCTAACGTCGATAAGTAACAGGCTAAAGTGGACAATATCTGCTAGCAATGAGTTTGAGTTGTTACAAATGGTATCACAACCAGATATCGAGCGATGTGCCAGCGAGAACGTTAGACCCCTAAAGGGGAGTGGATTGTGAGATCCCACGTCGATTGGATTGGGGAATGAAACATTTTTTACAAGGGTGTAGAAACCTCTTCCTAGCAAACGCGTTTTAAAAACCTTGAGGGAAGCCCGGAAGGAAAAACCCAAAGAAGACAATAGTTTGGTCATTTTTATCGTTCTAGTCGACATTTAGTTTGGTCACTAACTGTGAGTCACTGGGCAGTGTGATATTAAGGACGCTAGGTCCCTGTAGGGTGGATTGTGAGATCCCACATCGGTTGAAGAAAATATCAAATTTTCTCTAACCCATATAAGTAGGCTCATTTTTTCGTTCTAGTCGACATTTAGTTTGGTCACTAACTGTGAGTCACCGGGCGATGTGCTAATGAGGACGCTAGGTCCTTGTAGGGTGGATTGTGAGATCCCAGGCTCATTTTATCGTTCTAGTCGACATTTAGTTTGGTCACTAACTGTGAGTCATCGGGCGATGTGCTAATGAGGACGCTAGGTCCCTATAGGGTGGATTGTGAAATCTCAGGCTCATTTTGTCGTTCTAGTCAAAATTTAGTTTGGTCATAGACTAACTGTGAGTCACCGGACAGTGTGCTAATGAGGACGCTAGGTCCCTGTAGGGTGGATAGTGAGATCCCACATCGGTTGAAGAGGGGAACGAAACATTAACCCATATAAGTAGGCTCATTTTGTCGTTCTAGTCAACATTTAGTTTGGTCCTTAACTGTTAGTCACGAGACGATGTGCTAATGAGGACACTAGGTCCCTGTAGGGTGGATTGTGAGATCCCACATCAGTTAAATAGGGGAACGAAACATTTTTATAATCTTGAGACCCGTTTTAAAACCTTGAACGAAAGTCCAAATAGGACAATATCTCCTGGCCGTGGGCTCGAGCTCTTACCCTAAAAA